TGGGCTTCCTTTGCATTCCAGCCGAAATCGTGGAGCAAAAAAGAAAACAGTGGCGCAGTACTTTGTCCAGTGCCAAATTGTGCGACATTTGTGTAATATAAGCAAAAGGGATAACCTAGTGTAATGAAAGAGTATAATGTACACGTCACGCACACGTGATGACGTAATACCAACATCCATGCGAACGAAATAGGAGAGGATCAAACATGTGTATAAGAAGAACTTATGCACAACCCATATGTTCGCGCTTTTATACAATGCCCTTGTGGAATGCCGGCAAATTTTACTTCCACTTAGCGTTGAAGCGGCTTATGAATGCCAGTTGGCCTACACAATGACTTGCGGAGCCCATCATACAATCCTCATCATTACGGACTGTCGGGAGCCGTGTCAGTGCCGCTTGCGTTTGGCGGCAGTTCGAAGGCTCTGCACCAATGTGAAGCGGCAGTGGACATTACTGTATTATATCCTTCCGTACTACTCGTATTACTTGTTTTCTACCACTTTTGTGTCGCATACGCGTTTCAACAAAAAGGCTGAGAACGGCTTCAACAGTGTGCGCACTCCTACTGGCTGACACGCCCCGACAGTCCGTAATGATGAGGACAGTAAGTGTTCTTATCCTTCGCAGTACGGGTACCAATCTACTTCTACCTTGGAGGGTAGAGATGGTGGGCCGAGCCTGGAGGAACGATTCGGAGTGTGACCCCGGAGCGCGATGGTAGCGCGCCGCTTGCACGATTACACTACCTCCGCCTCTTGTCCCCTAGGTTATTAAACTTTTTCATTTGATTTCAATAGCTGTGTGCATCGGTGTCCGCAATATGCTAGCAACGTTAGACAATTAGTGGATCCCCTTATTACAGAAGCTCTGGAACTCGTTATCAAAGAGCGACTGAAAACCCATTTTGAGTTATCTTTATCAAAGAAATGACAACCTTTCAGATGACGAGCCAACTGAAAAAAGGAGAGATGAAGTTGGCTGACCGTCGATGTCCGCTCTTAGTTTAGGAAAACCTTGTAGTCGGACTGAGTCAAAAAGGCGTCTCCCTGCTTTCATCTCAGTGGCAGAAGCTCCACTGCTGCGCAGACATCTTTATTAATACGTTTAAGCCGTATTTATTGAAGAATCCATTTAGACATGCGCCAGCAACGCGGCATAACAGTTAACCCGCAGAAGCGTGGGAATCCCTCGGTGCTAGACTAGATACAGTACCGCTTGCGCGAGTAGTTTGAAACTGTCCCAGTAAACGCCCTTTTATGCGTCTTTCCTTAGCCAGACCAGACAGAATCATTGAGCAAACATGTCGCAAATGGGATTAAGAAAAAGGTTGAAATTCATGCTTCTGTTTATAAGGAAGGTGATGTGTTTAGCATCAAGACCATATAATCGAACCTACTCAAACTGTTCTCACGAAGAACAGCCACTGCTGAGAAATATGATGCTTCGGACAGCTGACGTCACATTACATTGGAATCTCTTCCTACATATGAATTATCTCCTTGAGAATTCTACGGAGATTGCGTGCATGGCTCACGTACAAGGGTCAATTCTCGTTACCTTCATGCACCCAAGGGCTTCTGATATAAGGAGAGATCTTTCTCATGAAGCATAGAAAAATGATAACAAGAAGAAGTTTATGTACCACAATAGAGCATAGATCGGCTAGATTCGACTTGGTCGACCTATGTACAATAAGTGACCGTTTCTTATGGCTAGAGCCTTGACACTGTCTTGCAACGCATCACACCTCTACGACCATTCCATCTAGAGGACGGAAAATTGGTTCTGAACAGCATGTATACTCTAGTTCGCTGCGGACGGTTGGGCGTGCCATGCAGTATGAGTGTGTCGCTCCGTCCTCTGCCTTCTTGTTGAACGTGGAATGCGACAAAAAGTGGTAGAAAACGAGTAATACGAACGATATGATACAGTCATATCACTTGCTCGCTTTAACAACTGGTGGTTTGGCACCGCGCCAAACTCATCCCGCCTGACACGCCCAACCGTCCGCAGCGAACTAGTACACTATAGAAAATTATTGCGAGAGACAAAATCTTATGATAGTTTCGAATTTGGAGGAACCGAAGGAGGGAACCGACATATTGATTACATCATCAAAAGTGGTAGTGAACTATGAAGGGTAATATTGCTTGAGTTGGATTCACATAGTCTCTGTTATTTCCGTGAAACTTCGACATTGATGTGAACTTGCATACCCTTCTCGTGCTATCGGGGATTTTCGGCGGACCTCCTCTTAGATGGCCAGACGTTTCGCTCACATTGCCGCCCTTGAACGTCTTGCCCACTGCTGCAGGAAAGGAGTCATCTCCACTTTTTCTTTTTGGATGTTATTTATGCTACACTACACTACCTCGGCTATCTAAAAGTATGTTCAAGTTTATAGATAGCAATCTTCACTGCAATACTTCGGAACCTCGGGATTTCAAAATATTGCAGTGAAAATTGCGCTCACATCCATCTCGAGCAAAACTATCGCGTATTGTATCGTCCAGTTACCTTCGAGCCTCTTTCAATTTCGGGTAGCAACAACACCGGTTCAGCTCCCGATTTTCATAAGCAATTCCATAAGTACACATATAAAAAGCGGTAATTCCTGATGAATATTTATTACATCTTTCATATGATTTTTACAATGCACAAAAACTGATCTATGATTCTAGGGGCACCAAGCAGCTCTAAAACCAGTCATTTCGGAGGGCTCAAATCGACTTTCGGTTTCTCTGGAGGTGCGGGCGCTGAAAGTATTCAAGTGACACATCACAATAAGTCCGAATAAAAAAAATTCACAGTCAAATCAAATACTCTTGCAAAACTTCGAAGATCTGAGTCTAAAAAATAAAAGGTGAGACCAGACTTTTTCATATAATTTTTTAAACTTTTCATTAATGTCACAGGGACAGCTGAACGTGCACTTTCTACGGCGCCCCTCCAACGAAATTCCCTGTTTGCTGAAATTGTCCGTCCTGCGAGGGCTATTATGGAGGACTCACTCAACACTCAAACTAATCTAATGAACCAGCGGACCAGCTGGAGGAATGGGATCGTCTACAAAAGCTCAACTCCCCCGAATTCCGTGTCTTAGAGGTATGCTTCGCCTTCATTCGATGTGCGGTCGCTTCCTACGAGCAAGATAATCAGGCCTACAAGCACAGATGATGTACCACTCGCAGCTCAAAAATCGCGAGGAAAGTGTGACCCGCTAGCCACAAAGGCACGACCCGCCTACTGCCTAACGCAACATCCAACTTTGATTTCTAAAGGTTTGTTCCACTACCAACTCACTCACTGCGAACTATGAGAGTGAGGTGATAAGGAGAAAGTGCTGATACCAACAAATAGGACTCGTCCGACCACGCCCTCTCTTCGCCTTATGCATGTACAAGAGCGATTCACCATGGGGTTCCATATGAAGCACTTCAGACAATTTTTACTGCATTTTTCTTAATTACTGAATAACATACCACCATTAGTATTTCAGCGTCACATTTTGTATTAATTTAATTGTTTTGCATTGAATTAACCGCTCGTTTTTGGCGTGATTCACAAAAGAGTAACGTCAAAAATAAGAACGGAATTTAGTGAAAGATACTTTAGTGGGATGGCATCGAAGGGATCTCCTGTTTACTCTTCTTGGTGAACTTCCTCAAATCACTTAGAATGCTATCGTAGGCATTAATCGTCTTCGTTACCGCACATAATATCCATCACAGGAATAGGAACTCCCTCGAAGGATCAGTCGGGGGACAAGAGGTAATTTCTCAACTTCTCCTTACCAGGGAAGTCCGCCAACTTGCCATGGAAGTTTGAATGGAGACCTGCGTAGAGTCTATAAGGTTATTTACAAATATAGATAGCAAAACTGCAACCTGCATTTCACAAGCAACTTATGAGCAGTAAAGTTTGTAATGGTGCAGTAGGGTGGAGGCTTGGTGGTGAGCTGTGAAGCATAAGCGAGGATCGCATACGTCGAATCGAGTCGTGGTGGTTCAGTGGTAAGGTTCGACGTTCGACGACTCGATTCGACGTATGCGATTCCTCGCTTATGCTTCACAGCTCACCACCAAGCCTCCACCCTACTGCACCATTACAAACTTTACCTGCTCATAAGTTGCTTGTGCAGGTTGCAGTTTTGCTATCTATATTTGTAAATAACCTTATAGACTCTATCGATCTACCCAGGTCTCCATTCAAAGTTCCATGGATAATTTGGCGGACTTCCCTGGTTAGGGGAAACGTTCTTAAATGGGATTAAATGAATAGTACAATGAGCATATTCAGGGAAAAGGAAAGCTCACGTACAAATTAATGGATTCTGAAAAACAGGTACCTTACATAAGTAAAGATGGCTAAAGAGTATTGGCGTGCTGATTGATGTCGCCATTTCACGTCAAAACTGGAGAAAGTCAAGCCCCTTTTCCCTCGGTACCGGCATTAATTCTATTTACTTTCTTATATTTGTTATATATCACTTCCCAAATGCTCAACATTACTCAACATCCAGAAGCACTGAAACACCCAGAACGATACCCTAATTTCGATTTTCACTACAAAAAGCCTAAATATCGTTCATCCAAAACACCGCATCACCAAGAGCTCCTTCGAATTTCGGAGCTATCGTTTGCCCAGCGAACACACATCTGTCAGACATGAGAAGCTGAGGCTTGGAAAGAGTTGAGCCCGAGCTATCTAGAGCTTACCCCCAGTTTCTTTATCACTCATCTGGAGATGGGCAGTAGGTAACTGGGACGATTTTTCAACATCTGCAGAGAAACAGTCTTCACATGTGCATCGATACTTTCTAGTAACCCTCTACTTTCAATCGTGGAACAAATCGCGAGAAAAAAACATCAAGATATAAAATAAATCTGAAGAAAAATAGAAACAAAAGCTGATTTTGATCTGAAACGTCACATTTATCCCTCAATCTTGCGAGGTTGCCAAAACTCGAAGCATGAAATCAGTGGTGAGGTACGGTTTAATTATGAGTTTTAAGAAGAACCAAGTGAAATGGAACTGGAGGAGGAACTGGAATACCACAGAAAAAAAAAAGAAAATCGAAACTCACAGCTCCTAAACTGTTCCCATGCACTCTCAGAAGTGAGCGATTCCTGTACGAACTACATCGACCGTTTCGTACGGATAACAGAAATGCGGTCATTGTCGCCAGTCCAACGGCGGTCGTGAATGTACGACCAATGAAGCCTCTGTGATTTACCAAACTTAACAAAACTACTAAACAACTTGTGAGTAGTGCTCACTTACCTTTTCAACCCCAACACGAAACCTGCCATACCGCCGACGGTAATAGCAGCAGCTTTGGGGAGCACAGTCCATTCCTCATCAACGTATGTTTTCGTTTCTACAATGAGGAATGAATACCTTTTCAGCCCTAATGTCTTCGTGATGCTTCGGAAAAAATATTTCAGAGAAACTTCAACTTACTTATTAATGCATTTTTTGACTTTTGAACAGTTTTGTCCACGAACTGGAACTGTTCCTGCAAAATTCTCATATTATTTCACTTTGGGGCTAGTAACTCACTATAATAAAGTCACAAGATAGTGAGATGCATCCGTTTAAAGAATCAGTAGAGCAGGTACTGCCAAAATCTTACCATTCCCTATTCCAACAAGTAAAGCAATGAACCTAAGTAAGCACTTTTCCAACCACAGCGCCCACCTAGATAAGAAAAACCCCCTGCAACCATGCGGTTGTTACATCGCGTCACAAAGTTCTCAGCCACTGGACTTCTAATGG